TAGGAAAGTCATTATGTTTTAGTCCTATTTAGGTAAATTTCTCTATCATATCATTCAATAGGAGAGTATATGATAGTGTTTTCCAACAGTTTCAGATGCAATATATATGACATAAAATCAAGGGGGGGGGTCGGAAATTATTTAACTGCGGCGGCGGCGGCGGCGGAGAGAGGGAAGGAGGGAGGAGGGAGGCTGGTGGCGGTGGTGGAAGAAGCTGTTCTCACCGTCATGTTGACGGAAAGAATGGCGGCACAGTGGCCGCACCGCACCGTCACCACCGTGCACAGACTGCTCCCCGGCACATTAACCTGCAGTAAAATTAAAAAAAAAAAAAAAAAAGACCCCCAAACCTCGTGGTTCAATTATCACTAAAAAAAAGGAATATATATGATGAAATAAATTAAAGTTCAAAGATGGAATTGCAAAAACAAAAAGAAGAATAAAAAGAGTACATACAAGTAAAATGGTGGCGCAGTAGCCACATTTGACATAGCATAGCTGGTCCGGCGGCAGATCCATGCGAGCCTAATTAAGGGTTCTTTATTTCATTATTTGTGTGTTAATTATTTGTATGGTTGGGGTGTGCAGTTGTAGGGTGAAGTTAAAACTTAAAAGGGGTGAAGGAAGATGACTTTTGTATTGGGGTTGAGGGGGTAAAGCGTGGTAGCTAAAAAAAAAGTACTCCCCACCCTTAAAACCATTCTTATTTTGATTTTGGACCAAAATAAGAAAAGTGTAATTTTAGTTGACTTTTCAATTTTGCTCATGATGTCATAGTTTGGTTATTAATGAAAAAGTATGATGTGATACGTAGGATATGAAAAAGTAGGGGTAAAAGTGGTTTTTTAATAGAAAGTAGAAGTGTTTTAAGAAATTGAAAAAAAAACAAAAGAGGAAGTGTTTTATGGAACGGAGTGAGTAATTTTTAATAGACCATGTTAGGGATACGCTAAAGTGAGGTATTCCATTTGTATACTAGGCAAATACAGAGAGTTAATATTTGTGATCATAAACACTAAGTGTATGTGTTTGTCTGGTATATAAATCGAGTACCTTATTTTGGTATACCCTTAGATTTATTCATTTTTAATTTAACAACATGAAGACTTGAAGAGTGTACACAAATAAGACCTCCTCTAATTTTTCAGAGTACATCTTTAGGGCACTGGAAATACCCTTTAAGCCTCGGGGCTTCAAAATTTTTCACTCTGCCACGTCAGCTTTAACTTGCCTCGCAAATTCAATAGAAATGGGTTTGAAGGCCAAAAACTTCAAACATGGGCTTCAAAACTTCATTTTTTACATTTTTAAATATAGATCTTCTAAATTTAAAATAATAAATTTTAGTTATTTAATTATTTAAAATAATTTACAGGAGAATAATGCATAAAAAATTACATTCATTAAAAAAATATTACATTCATAAAAAAAACATTCATAAAAAAAGTTGCATTCATTAAAAAAATATTATATCCATAAAAAAGCAACACTACAAACAAATTACTAATTATTCGAGCGACTGAAGATATGTTCGATCAAATCCGCCGTTAGTGCATTGTAAATATCTCGGCTTCGAATTTCTTGGTGGTTTCTTCATTTCTTTTTATCGTCGATTTCTTCATACATAGGCACCTCCTCGTTCGGGTTGTATTGACAAATCGCAAACTCATTTTCCTCTACGATCATATTATGAAGAATAATACATGCATACATGATATTCCTCATTTTTGTTTGAGAAAAACATTTTGACGGACGATCTAGAATGTGCTACTTAGCCTTCAAGACCCCAAAGGCTCGTTTAATAATATCTTTTTACGCCGCCTCATGAACTTTTTTGTATGTCTTAAGACCCATTGGTTCAGATATGGACTTGATAATCGTGAAATAATCTAGATATATTCCATCGGTCAAATAATATCAATGCTTGTAAAGCATCCCTATAAGCTCAAAAAACGAGTCAGGTGCGGTCTTATTAATCCAATTGTCGAAAAGAGGCGATTGATCGAGAACATTGATGTCGGTGTTCGAGCCTGCAATACCAAAAAAGCGTGCCAAAACCACAAGTCAATTGAAGCAACAGCTTCGAGCATGGTAGTAGACTTGGGATGATCCCCGGAAGAATTGACCATGCCACGCAGAGTGATAATTTTTCCATTCCCAATGCGTGCAATCAATGCTCCCAAACATGTCGACAAAGCCATGTTTAGCAGCATGTCTTGCCTGTAACTGCTGAATGTCGCTCGCTGTAGGCTTGCATAAACATCTCTTATGATAAATTTGAAAAATAGATTTAGAAAATTTATAAACACAAGATCTAATGCTCCGAGCCGACATTTTCAAGTATTCATCGAACATATTAGATGTCGTCTCATACACCATCTTACAAAGTGCGGCAGTGCACTTCTAGATACTGTTAAACCCACGTCGGCCTCTCGCATCAAAGTATTGGATGGACCAAGGCACCTCACGTTCAACATCGGCGAGTATGCGTAAAAAGAGACGGTGACTCATCCAAAAATAATTACTAAAATCCTCCGGTGTATAAACACAAGGAGTATTTAAGAGTAGTCGTTGAGAAGTGAAGCGTGGGCAGCCGCTCTGTAACACCTTAATCCGTCCAGGTCTGCAGCCCCTTTTGAACTAGAGTATTAATTTGACAATCGTAAAAATTTAAAACATTCCAATATTTTTATTCACCAGGAAAATAATATTCAATACATAACTGTAGCAAAATACGGAGGGTTTACCCTAATGCGGAAGCAAATCTAAATCATGTCTCATAGCAACATAATTATTCATTTTAATCACAAATCCACCACGACTGTCCTGCCCCTTCCGCTGCCAGATTTATGTGAATCATTTACTCTGTCTACCTGCGTGTAGCAAATAAAACACACTACACGCTCAACGGTGAAGTTGAGTAAGCATGTCTAAAGCGTCGAACTTCCACATAAATTAAATCTCAATTCATAATCAACCATTTGATATCATGCACACGATATATGATTCATTCATGATATTCTCAATATTTTATTCCAAGTCATTTCGATATTCAATATCTCAACATTTAAAATTCATATTCATTATTCAACATTCATATTCAACATTCCCATGTAAATCTTTTACAATTAGCAGGCTGGCACATAATTTCCCATGTAAAAAAAAAACAAAGAAATGAAAATAATGAGTGAAATATTAACATTATAAAAAAAATAAGTCATCAAATTAAAGGAAAAGACAAAGTTTTGTGAAGTGAACACAGTGGAGAAGAATAAGATTTAGTTGTCCTATTATTCTCCAATCGATTTATATATACACAAAAGAACTCCAAAAATATTGATGGAGTCATACTTTCACCGTTCGAAAAATCAATAAGATTTGGCAGCTCCATTTTCTCCTTGCATTGTTACGGAGTAAAAAATTCAAAAATGAATAGGAGTATAATTGTGAATTCATGGCAATAGTAATGAGAGTGAAGTTAATTAACGGAGTTAACGGCGTAAGGGTATAGTAGGAAAGAAAAAGCAGTGTACCATCTATAAAAAATGAATGTACTTTTTTGGATGGAAAAAAGTGTAAAAAGTTAAGGGGTGCCTAACTTTCTTTGACACACACACTCCGTATAAGATTAGATATTACGAAGTAGATTAGAAGATATGAACATATCTTATTTAACTAAAATTAATTTTAAAGATAACTAATTTTAAAAAAAATAAATCATGACATTACATCTACCAAGATAAATAATAGTACTAATAATAACAACAACAAAAATAATAACATGAAAAATTATACCCAAATTATTTTTTCTAGTCATTCTTGGGAAAATCTAGGAATTGAAAAAAACTAGAATGAAATTAGAAGATACTAGAATATGTTGAAAAAAACTAAAAGAAGTTAAATAATCTAGAAGGGGTTGAAAAACTAGGAGTTAAAAAAACTAAAAACAGTTGGAAAATGTTATAAATTAATAGTTAGAGCCCAAAAGAACAACCTAGGTTGTAATAAACTAATTTAAGAGGTGACATTTGCATTAAATAATACTAAAACATATGTCATTTCCCAATATAGTACTTAAGCTTTTTTATCTCCTAAATAGTACTTGAATAATAACTAGTGACGAGAAGAATTTTCAGTAATGTTAGACATTTAGTTTGAACAATGTCCTATATATGGAAGATATTTACTTTAATAATGATCAGTGGACATTGAACAATACTACTACATTGAAAAATAAAAATATATGGTACTACATTAGGAAGATCACTATGTTTTGGTGTTATTTAGATAAAGTCTCCTATTATCCATATTATTCATAATAGAGAATAAGTTTAAGTAAGTTAAAATGATATGTAAAAAATAAAATTTAAAATATTACTCGTTCCAAATGTTTTTTTTGTCGGAAAAGATTTACGTTTTTAAATATTTAAAATACTAGAACTACCACTTTTTACTTTATTTATTATATACCTTATCCAGCTCAGTTAATATACTTCACACACTTGCATTAATGATATTTTAATAAAGTTCCACTTTTTTTTTTTTACTTTTCTTAAAAATTACAAATTCAACTTGTGAACTATGAGAGAGTAGTAAAAAGTAGCGAATGAAAATGTAAATTAATAGTTTAATTTTACATGTAATAACGATTCAATTTTTTAATTTTGTTAGATAGGAGTGCGCAAATACCGAATCGATCTCGAAATTTCTCGAGAATACTGAGATTAGAGAACTGAAAAATTAATACTAAACCAATAAAATACCGAAAAAGAACCGTACCATACTGAATTGAATGGTCGGTCTGGTATTTAGGATCGGTACGAGATAACTTCCCATATTGAAAAAACCCGAACAAAACATATATAGTGTTGGGACTGCGCGTGCCCTCCCCCCAACCCCGCATTAGTATGATATTGTCCGCTCTGGGCCAAGCCCTCACGGATTTGTTTTTAGGCACCTCCCAAAAGGCCTCGTACTAATGGGGTTGGGTGAACCTTTTTATTTTGGTCCAGTTTTTCTTCTCCCTCCGGTGTGGGACTTGGAGGAATCCCAACAAACCTCCCCTCATCCAAGGACCTCACAACTTCCGACCACCCCTCCAGCAGTAATCCATTTTTTCCTTTTTTTTTTTTATCTGCTAACCCTCTTGCACCGCCGCACACTCTTTGCGGGACACGCCGCCCGACCTCCTGTCGGGAAGACTTTCGACGCAAGGCTCGAACCGCAGATCTTTCCTTCGCTGGGCTACACCATTTGATCCGCCAAATCATCTTGTACCGCCGTGGCTATAACTTCACGGGACGCGCCGCCCGACCTCCTCTCGTCGGGAAGACTTTCGACACAAGGCACCACCTGCAGATCCTCTTTCTTGGTCNCACACTTCTCGCACAACTCCTGCCAATCATTGTCACTCATTTTCTCCGGCTTCGCCTCATCTCCTTTAAGGGCTCTAGACAAACCCAAATGCACAAGGAGATCCTTCATCCTTCTTTGCCAAAGAGTGAAGCTACTCTTTCCATCAAACTTAGGCACGGAAAAGTGAGACCCCGAACCCGAACTCGACATCCTCGAAAACTACTAGAACCACCCGAACCTAACCTGGCTCCGATACCACTTTGTTGGGACTGCGCGTGCCCTCCCCCCAACCCCGCATTAGTATGATATTGTCCGCTCTGGGCCAAGCCCTCACGGATTTGTTTTTAGGCACCTCCCAAAAGGCCTCGTACTAATGGGGTTGGGTGAACCTTTTTATTTTGGTCCAGTTTTTCTTCTCCCTCCGGTGTGGGACTTGGAGGAATCCCAACATATAGGAATATATTATAAAAATAATAAAGTCTTATATTTCTTAATTGAACAAAAATTTACACGGACACAAAGTGTTGGTGCATTAACAAAAATTAGTTTTACACCAACTATAGACCTGATCAAAGTGCGGGCCGGGTTTTGGGCCGGGCCGAGACACTACTTTACAAAAATTTTATAGGCCCGAGCCCGGTCCGGCCCGTATACAGGCCTAACAATTGAAGCCCAAGGCCGGCCCGCATGGTTACCCGCGGGCTTCGGGCCGGCCCGGCACGGCCGACAAAAACTTTTAAATAATTTTAAAATATTTTTTTTTAAAAAAGTACCAAGTTAATATATTAGATATTTGATATAAAAACTCTAAAAGTAAATGAAAGAAAAATTGGTATATGAATATATTTTATTTGATATTGCTACTATGTATGGAGTGCAAAATATTATCTATTGGAATGTCATAATCAATGTGTGATACGTTGCAAACAATACGGAGTAGTGAAGATGCATTCATTTTATTATAAATATTTATAGTTTATTTTTTCACTCCATAGAAGTATGTATATGTGTTTATAATAATTTAAAATAGGTTTGTTCTTTATTATTATTATTAATGTTATTATTGTTATTTTATTATAATTATATTAAATATAAATATTTAATTTATTCGGGCCAGGCCGGCCCGTGGGCTTGAGCATAAACCCGAGCCCGGCCCTAAAATATTTGGGCCGCCATTTATATGGCCCAAACTTGGCCCGTACCCTAAAATGTCAAACCCAAGCCCACTATTTTGCGGGCGGGCTTTTGCGGGCGGGCCGGATATCCGGACCCATGATTGGGTCTAACACCAACACAAAGTGTCGGTGCAAACCTGCGGGGTACAAAGTGGGGTATAAAAGTTGGAGTACAAAAGTGGGGGTACAACTACTAGTTTACTCCGAGTAATATATTTGGAGTACAAAGTGGGGTATAAAAGTTGGAGTACAAAGTGTCGGTTCGAATATTTTATAAGATTCGTATTCGGTTCGTTTAAATATTCAATTCGTTTAAATATATTCAGTCCGTTTAAAAATATTCAGTTCATATAGATCTTAAAGTATTTTATAGCCATTTGATGTATGTGTGTGTGTGTGTGTGTGTGTATATATATATATATATATATATATATATATATATATTGTATAATTAGATTTATATTCCGAATATATTTGTCAAACTCACGAATCGAATACCCTTAGATTCATATTCGTATTCGATAAGGACTCGAATATTTATTCAGATTCGTATTCGGATTTGAAAAAATCAAATACGAATCACCTAAACGAATGCGAATCACAAATCAAACAAAAAATATTTGATTCATTTATAACCCTAGGTACAAGTAGCTTTATCCAATTGCTAAAGCTATTCTGAAGTAGCTATATGCACTCCAATCTTTATCTTGTTTATATTTTCTTCCTAAAATGCCCTTGCATGTTTAATACTTCGTTGTTTTTACCTAAGAATATTATATTACCTACTTCATTGTTTAATTATTTAACTTTTATTGATTCTATGTGTTAACAAAAAATAACATTTCCAGCATAAATTAATTTATTCTCTTATTTTACGGAGATTAAAAAACACTGAAGAGATGTATAAAAAAGGTTGAATAGTAAAAGAGAGTTGTTAGATTTCATTTTGAAAAATGAGAAAAATGTCAAACCACATATTCTTTTGTATAAACAAATTGAAAAAATAAAAAAATCATTTTGTGACAAACAAAAAAATGAGAAAACTCTTATGAAATAGGGTATATAAAATAAGTAATAACGATATGATCTAAAACCAATTTTAATGACACAAATTTCACTTGTCAATTTTTTTAATCTTTTTCTTAATCTCAGTAAAGTCAATGTGAGAAAAGTAATTTGGGAAATGTAGAATGAAAAGTAATTAGAATTTTAACATTTTTTCAATTGTGGAGTGGTAATATATTTTCCTTCAACATACAATTTAAAATCTTTTCATACTACATAAGGCTCCAAATTAGTTTTTTTTCACTTTACTTTCAATGATATATATTACAAAAAATATTTTTAAAAAATGTTAAGAGAAATGTAAGTTGTTAGAATTTGGTTAGATGAAAGAATCACTTTAGAGTACTATATAATCCTCACCTTTCTCACTTTAAATAAATCCTAAAATAATGCATGCACTTTTCTTCCTTTTTAGAAAATAAAATGTAGTTTAAAATATTTTTCTTTCTTATAAAACATCCAACTACTCATTGTCACTATTCAAAAATTTTTCAATATATTTTTAAAATCACTGTAAATTCAAAGAGACCAAATGAACTTGAAACAAATGGCTAATTTCTTTCAAAAAACAATTGGAAAAAATGATAAAAGTATTGAGGGAGATGAAAACAAAATAAAGAGTTTTAGGATACGGAGATTTTTTTATTAAAAAAAAAAAATATTGTGCACAAGGGCATTTTCGTGAGAAAAAAAATAAGTGGAGTGCATCTAGTAATTATTGGAGTGCCAATATCAATTGCCATTTCAGCTCTCTTTTTTGTAATCTGGAAACCTAATCGGAAACCCAATAGGAATCTCAGAGTTTTCTCGTCGTCTGGGAAGTTTTCTTGCCAGGGCAAGCACCAATCATGGATCTAATTCGTTCGTATGCAGATGATGATGAGATGGAGAGTTCCTCTCCCGATTCATCTCCGGTTCCACTCCCGTCCAAATCCGCCGCCCCGAAAGTGGACGACACCATGCTGGCTCTCACAGTCGCCGGCGGGTCAGCCCGAGCTCTTTCCAAGCCGCTCGATCCGACTCAGCACTCGGTCTCCTATAATCCCACCTACGACCAGCTCTGGGCTCCAATTTACGGCCCCGCGCACCCTTATGCCAAGGACGGCCTCGCGCAGGGCTTGCGCAATCACAAGTTAGGGTTTGTAGAAAACGCTGCTATTGAGTCGTTCGTCTTCGATGAGCAGTACAATACCTTTCTGAAATACGGTTATGCTTTTGACCCGGCCTCGAATAGCTATGTTGGAGATATGGATGCTTTGCAGAAGAATGATGCAATGTCGGTGTATAATATACCACAGACTGAGCTGAAGAAGAGGAAATTGGAGAAGAAGAATGAGATGGCTGAGAGTGAACAGGCAGATGATGAAGTGGATACAGATGCCACGGACGTGGATAATCCATCGACCGAGGTGTGGTTGAGGAAGAATCGGAAGAGTCCTTGGTCTGGGAAGAAGGAAGGTATGCAAACCGAGCTGACCGAGGAGCAGAAGAAGTATGCGGAAGAGTATGCAAAGAAAAAGGGCGAGGAGAGGGGTGAAAGGGAAAAGCCTGAGCCTTTGGTTGAGAAGAGTACATTCCATGGTAAGGAGGAAAAGGATTACCAGGGTAGGTCATGGATTGCTCATCCCAAGGATGTGAAGCCTCAGAATGATCATTGTTACATTCCGAAGAGATTGGTTCATACTTGGAGTGGCCACACGAAAGGAGTTTCAGCTATTAGGTTCTTCCCTAATCACGGCCATTTGATTCTGTCTGCTGGAATGGATACAAAAGTGAAGATTTGGGATGTTTTCAATTCGGGCAAGTGCATGAGGACTTACATGGGACACTCTAAGGCAGTGAGAGATATTTGGTTTAGCAATGATGGAACTAAATTTTTATCTGCGAGCTATGATAAAAATATCAAGTATTGGGATACTGAGACAGGAAAAGTGATATCTACTTTCTCCACGGGGAAAATACCTTATGTGGTGAGGCTTAATCCCGATGAGGATAAACAGAATGTTCTTTTGGCGGGTATGAGTGATAAGAAGATAGTACAGTGGGATATGAACACTGGACAGATTACTCAGGAGTATGATCAGCATCTAGGGGCAGTTAATACAATCACTTTTGTGGATGACAATAGAAGGTTTGTGACTTCTAGTGATGATAAATCTCTCCGTGTTTGGGAATTTGGCATTCCTGTTGTTATAAAGTATATTAGTGAACCACATATGCATTCAATGCCATCAATTTCACCACATCCAAATGGGAATTGGCTTGCAGCTCAGAGTTTGGATAATCAAATTCTTATTTATAGCACTAGGGAGAGGTTTCAGCTGAACAAAAAGAAGAGATTTGCTGGACATATTGTAGCTGGGTATGCATGTCAGGTTAATTTCTCACCTGATGGGCGATTTGTCCTGTCAGGAGATGGGGAAGGTAGATGCTGGTTTTGGGATTGGAAGAGTTGCAAAGTCTTTAGAACTCTGAAGTGTCATGATGGCGTTTGCTTTGGTGTTGCATGGCATCCATTGGAGCAAAGCAAAGTTGCTACATGTGGCTGGGATGGCTTGATCAAATACTGGTAAGAATCTTATCCTTGATAATTAAAGTGGGGTTTTTTTGCATATCTAGCTTGTGGCATTGGGCACTAGGAACTAGTTAATAGTTATATAAAATACGTCAAACATAGAAGACTAGATTGATGATGACGGTTTTGTTGTTGTTTATGCACTCTCTACTTTCTTGTTATATAAGCTAGGATCATAATTGACAAGCCATAATTGACAACCCTGAGAAGTGTACTCTGATATCCCCTAAACATAGTAGTGATCATAATTGCATGATTTCTTGCAAACATACCTGTTAATCATGCTGCCTGCATGCATTTGAGTTGTCTGATTGTCTCATAGACCATATAATATTTATACCGTTGCAATAGAGTATTACCCTAGGACTTGATGTTAATCTTTCTATGTTCC